TTTATTTTTACAACGAAACTACGGAGTGAGCTGGGCCCGAGAATATTCTTGGTTTCTAAGTGGTTTCAGGACATTCTGTCAACGATTTTTTGTCCGCGCACCTTTTTTGTCCAGTAGTTAACGCCCACGCGTAAAAGAAGCAACAGTGACTTGGTCCAAGCGTTATATTTTAATCATTATGTAAAATTATAATGGCAATATGGAAATGAGAAATTGAGAAAGAAGGAGGTGTTATTATGGTTGCTCATTTTCTAAATGAAATGTTATTACTTTCTCCTTTTGAATCTTCTTTTTAAATTGTCATTGGTGAATATTTGGTTTTATTTCTATCCTTAAAATATTGAATGTACAATATACCTTATATATGTTTAGGTCCTTTTTTTATTATTTTTTCTTTACGAAATTATTAGTTCGTTTCGAAAACATTTATACTTTTAAAACGTGACAAATATTTGTAAAACCTTTTCCAAGCGACATTAATCTCAGTGAGCCGCAGTTGTGCCGACAGAAACTGCAAAAATGAATAAAAGCGGGGAAAAAACCAAGAAGCACGAGTTTTAACCCATTTGTACATCGATCTTATCAATTTAAATGGGAATAATCAATGTAGAGTGTGCTAACATGTTAAAATCATGAGTTAAAAAACGCTGACTATGCGAGTATAAATATTAAAACCTAACAGAGCGGAGCGGCGTGCTGCCAGCGCGAGAGGCTCACTGGCGTCTACAAACCTAAGTGGATACTTCACGCATTGCACAATGCTTGAAGTATCCACTTAGGTTTGTAGGCGCCAGTGAGCCTCTCGCGCTGGCAGCACGCCGCTCCGCTGTTAGGTTTTAATATTTATACTCGCAAAGTCAGCGTTTTTTAACTCATGCTTTTAACATGTTAGCACACTCTGCATTGATTATTCCCATTTAAATTGATAAGATCGATAAGATCGGCGCCTGAAGCAACTATTTCACAACAGAGGTTTTGCACAGTATTATACGAAATTGAACCTATAAAGAGTGACAGGCATCCTCTAAAAGTACAGATCTTTCCTCGCAAAATAAATAAAGATACTTGTCGTACACAGGAAAAATCTAAGAGCCTTTAGTTGAGGCAAATATAGAGGTTTCTCCGGTTCAGGTATAACAAGGTGGGAATTTCTTGAAAGATAATTAAGTCCTGTTACACCAAAGAGGTGTAGAGAGTTTTAGTGAATTTTGTCTCATGGAATTGACCCCATTTTTCACCAAAACTCTCAACTATATATTATTCTCCGTTGGACCAAACAGACAAAACAAAAAGCCAAGCAAACCCTCATTCTTCCAAGACATTATATATTTTCATCCAAAAACGTCGTGAGCAATAAATTGTCGTTTGTATTTACATGTGGGCCAATTAACTATGGGTCTTAATAATTGGCACGTGGACCAGAACTCCCGGGCCGAAAAAACGCGTGGACGTAAATTACTTGAAAAAAACAGGTGCGCGGATAAAAAATCGTTGACGAAATGTCCTATAACCTTCTAAGTTGAACAATTATTATCGGAGATATGACAAAATGACCTAATCTACTGAAATACATGTGTCTAAAGAGGGTAATGTCACAAAGCGTCTTTTACTCTTATTTTTCTACAATTTTTGAAATTAGAAAAAAATATAGGAAAAAAATACCGCGTAAGCAGCTTGGTAGGCTCTTTCAGATGAATTAAGGCATGAAGTTGATTCGTGCTAAGACCCCATTTCGATGGTGAAATTGCGGAAATGCGCATATCTCGGTTTACGGAGTTGCAGACTTCCTGTTTTACTTTATTTCCTACGCAGGAAACTACCAAACGTCATTTCTTAAAAACTTTAGGAACTTTCCTTAAAAACTTAAAGTAATTTTTACTGTAGTGTAATGAATATTCTGTGAAAATTTCAAGTTTCTGTTATGTATACTGTTAGTTAAGTCTTTTTTTAAAAAAATATAGTATGAGTGGGAATTTTGAAACACTGCAACCGAGATGCGTATTTTTGCAGTTCCGCCATCGATTTGTGACCGTCCAACAGAAACTTAAATTTTCGTTATTGATATCACAATAAAAGGGTGTGTTCTGTGAGTATTTTCCAAAATTAAGAGTGCCCAGAGGGGTCATATCTTTTTCATCCTTCCAAGATAAGTCGACACGCGCATTTCTCGTGACGGGAAAGCCATGACAAAAAAATGATGGAGACAATTAAGTCTAGAGGTCAAATTATTTTTAAATCGGAGCCTCTGGGGTAATTAGAGATTCTCATTTAGACTTCCACGAGAGTCACGCCGGCGATTTTTTCATTTTATATCGGCTCAGATTTGGGGCTTTTTGGGTCGAATAATTGTTCAAAAAGGCAACCGAGCGCCAGGAATAGGGTTAAAACCGGCTTGTTGTTCCAATGAGCCATGGGAATTCGACAGGGACACATCTATTTACGGATGAGCCCTGTGATGCTGGTATCATCATGCATTTTAATGCCCACCTGAAAAATTATTTTTTCCTCTTGACGAATATATATATATGCATATTAATTTTGTAATTCGTGCATAATGTACCGTTTTTCTTTTTTCTTTAGCTTCAAAATCGCTCCAAATTTATAGTTACCAGCATGTAGCAGTGCGTCATGAGTGTATATTTGTGGTCTGAGCATAAACTGTTACTCAAGAAGCTTCCGCTGTCTACTAAAAAAAGAAAACGAAAAAGAAGGAAGCTTCATGTTCAGAATCAAGGGTATGTCCGACTTTGACTCAGTTAACCCAGGTACGCTTATACCCTCTCCGCTGCAGTGTAGATAGGAGGTATTTATGGGGTAGTGTATATGATAGTATGTATAGTGGTATAGTAACAGTTGGTCTTCAGTACCGACTAGTTGGTGTATAATAGTATTTTTGTTGGTGCACAGCGCAAACTAAGGTTAGCCAGGTTGGGGGCATACTCACTTTTCATTTTCAGCGTATGAGTCTAATTTAGAACATAAATTATGCAAAACTGCCAGTAAGATCTTAGCTATTCATTACTCCTCTTCATACATTAATAATCTATGAATATGCCCACTGTCTTCAATTTTTTTAATTATTATCTGCGTTTTTGCTTCTCCATTTTTTGCTCCAAAGTCAACCTCCAGGACAGTGAAACCCTTGTCAGAATTCGAGCCGCATAGTGGTCGGGGAGAGGGTCCCCGACATGTCTAATTCCAGCATCATAATGACAAGAAACACCCGGTTACGGTGTCAATTTGACAACCACGCTCTGGGTACTTGACGTCAATGGGAGCATTATTGGGAACAAGAGTTTCTATTGAGCCGCTCTCTTGTTTGTCCACGACAATTTGGCAAATTAATAAACAATTAATTAGAGGATAAATTTAATTAGAGGGAGCTGTAAGGGAGGCGGAAGAGGCGAGTCGGGGTGAGTAAACAAGGAGCTACCGGTCTCTGCCTGGGGTGCTCCAGGGGCAGGTCATACCGGGGGTCAGCCACTGCAGAGGAGGACGAGTTGTTCTGCAGAATTCGGAGCTTTCGACTCGGATGAGAGCTTTGAACAATAGGCTGATCACAAAACCCGATTGATTTTAAAGGGAATGAGCTTGATGTCCGACCATTAATGCTGACAGGCTAAGGAAAAATGCAGTATGAGCCTTCAGACGTTGCCAGATTTTCTCCAATGGAGATGGTGCATGTGTGAGGAATTTGCGATTTGACTGTTGATTCTTTTGACAAAGTTCGCAAGAAACACGATGGTGCCACTGGTTTTCTCTGAAATTATCTCCCAAGCTCAAAAAAAGCTCTCAAAGTGAGGCAAAAATGGAGGGGATATCCCACCCTACCCTGAGAGTCTACCTCTACATCAAAACAAGCTCTCCATGCAAAGATAGGGAACAAATACATTGGCAGTGATGCCGTGTTTTAAGTTTTGGAGTCCCCAAATAAAGTGGCAATCCTGCTAATGTATTTGCTCCCTATCTTTGCAAGAAGAGCTTGTTTTGATGTAGAGATGGACTCTCAGGATAGCGTGGGATATTCCCTCCATTTTGGCCTCAACTTGAGAGCTTTTTTTGAGCTTGGGAGTTGATTTCAGAGAAAACCAGTGGCACCATCGTGTTTCTCGCGAACTTTTACATAAGAATCAATGGTCAAATCGCAAATCCCTCACGCATGCAACATCTCCATTAAAGACAAAATTTAAAGGAAGCATGTGAATATTTTTCTTCAAAGTTTTCGGATAGTTATATTCTCAATTCGATCTGAAGTATCTGAAAATTTCAGGGAGAAATATTCATGACTTTCCTCAAAAATAAATATGATGTCGAAAGAAATGTGGCAACATCTGAAAGGTAGCTGAATTCGGAGCTTTCGACCTGGCTGAGAGCTTTAAACAATAGGCTGATCACAAAACCCGATTGAAACTAACAATAAATGGTATGATCTCGATGTGTGACCGTCAATGCTGAAATGCTAAGGAAGAATGTAGTATGAGCCGTCAGACGTTGCCATGTTTCCTGTAATAAAATACGAATTTTAAAAGAAACGTGTGGATAGTTTTCTTCAAAGTTTTCGGATACTTGTCTTCGCAATTTGATGTGAATTATTTGAAAATTTCAAGGAGAAATATTCATAGCTTCCCTCAAAAATTAATCTTTTGTCGGAAGAAATTTTGCAACATCCGAAAGTGGATACGGTGTTTTTTCTTAGCATGGCAAAATGGAGAAAGATACCATATACCCCGGAAACTCATAATGGAGAATTTTAACGGAGAAATTTTATTGCTGCATCCAAGAGCGCTCAATGGGCCGAGTTGGTAGTAATCTTTTTTATAATTTTTCTCTGATTGGGAAAATTTTTGATGTTTTAATGTTCGATATAGCACCATAGCCCGTGATAGGATAAAGCCCTCAACTAATGTCATGAAACTTCAATATCTTATCAATCATTTACTGGGCCGCTTTTATCTGATTGAAAAGAAAGGTGACCTAGCTAGAAACAATCTCAACGCAAAGAAACTATGCATTTTGTTCAACAAGTAAAATTGTTTAATAGTTTCAATAGATATTCGCGAGTGTCACTTTTTGTGTTTTTTATTTATTATTTCTGTAGGAAAAAGTCATCTTCAACGTCGTTAGGTGGTAACATACTAAGTCGATGTGGAAATTATGGGTTAAAAAGTTCGGTGGGGACATGGTAGTAAATCTGTTGTTTTTGTTGCCGTTCTTTGTGGAAAGAGTTAACGGAGTCAGGCGTAATTTTACATACGAGGAAAGGGAATCAAAGCTTAGGAAATCTCGAATAATTCCTGAGTTGATAAAGAAAATGCCGGAACACCCCCTCCAGGTATGACTTTTCATTGGCCAAATTCAGTTTCCCATAGGTATGCTATGAATCAGATTGTTTCTCTTAAATATTTCATTCCTTTCTTCGCCATCTTGTCGAGATTTTGGGATTACCTGCTTCATTACATTTTCGACATTTTTCACGCAATTGTGACCTTGAAATTAATTTTTTTCACTTACAGAAAATAAATTTTTCACTCATTTCAGATAAAATACGTGAAAAATTGCGTAGTCAATTACGGGAACCTACTGCAAGCTCCCAAACTTGAGTATGAGCCCTTCAGATTTAGGTGGCCATGTGGGCTTCAAACGTACTACACTTTGATAATGATAGGTGAGAGCATACTCAAGGCTTATAATTTAAGTTCCTTAGTTTTAGAATGTGTTTAGTAGCTGTGGGAGCATGCTTAAAAAGAGAAGGCCTAAAAAATAAAATCCATTTTGCCAAAATAAACCTAGTAATGTATTCTGAAAAAACTAAATGGATCTATTAAACACAAAAGATACAGCTAACTCCTAATACTTTGAATGAAACAAAATTTGCAAATCACTTTGAGCGATCAGAATGTCAGTATTACCTGTGTGAACACAAAAATACACACATTCAACACCACACAAAACACTTACATAAAACACAATGCATCGAGGGACCTCTATTTTTGGCCCATCTTAGAAACAACATATGTACTATTACATCCTTATCCTATTGTAGTTAGGTGCTTGTAGGGATGAGCAGAAATGGTGGTTCTTCGTCGCAAAATATAGTTTATTTGATTTAGATACTTTCTCCGAAAGCTTAAAATGTAAAACAATAATTCTATAAAACCAATATTGAACGAAACTGACAAAAAATATGGCAGTAAAACTGAGAGTTGCATTAATTACTTGGATCGCACGTTTTTTTTTAAAATCAAAATATACCTGAGTGACCACAATGAATTTAACATCAATATAAGACCAATTACTTTGAGAGAAACACAACTGACCAATTTTTTTCAAAAATTAAAATAAATTGTCGCTTATTACTCGTGCACTCTACATTATGTGAACATTTTGTCTGACATGTGTTACTCTACACTCTTTAATTAGATCCAGACGTACCATCCAAAAAGAATCCAAAGAAAAGGGAACAACTACTGTGGCTGGTTGTAAATATCAAAGCAATTTTTGTAATGGCAGCTCAACACATCGCAAAATACATGAAACCGGACCCGGGAAAAGACACAGGTGAGTGTGAAAATTCAGTAATTGATGAAGGAATGAGAAATCTAGTTTTGGTTGAAATCATGAATATCTCAATTGTTTTCGAAATCTGCGCTCATACGCCCCTCAAATGTATTTAAATTTCACGGGCGAACCTCTGAGCATATGATTTGGAGGAGTATCAATTTCCACTCTTCCCCTGCCGATAAATGCATGGCGAACGATGTTTTATAATGGAAAAAACATGTTTTCACAATACTAAAACTCATGAAAAAACTAGCGAAAATACAGATCCCACAAACAAAAGCATGCTGGAAATAGCATGTGCTCACGGAGGTCCCGTGATCAAGTTTCAAATTAAAGAATTCTTTCAGTTTCTTTGTAAACATATTTTGGGTAAAGAGAAGTGCATCAATATAATGTAGAAAATACATTGATTGTGAGAAAAATATAGATCTTTCTGCAACGTGAGCCGTTGCGATTATACTCTTAAAAAGTATTTAGGTCCACAGTTGGCTGTTTCTCCTGTATGGATTTGACGGACCCCACCGTCTTGTCCATTTGAATGTTGTGTTCACTCGAACCATCGACTGTTTTTCTTAAACAGGTATTAGCTACAATTGAAATGACTAGAAACCTTTTGATAATTTTGAAATTGTTACTTCGTGCACTTGATTAACGACGGATTTTCAGGTCCACACAGGATCGTCTTCATTTTGTTCGAACAACCGAATGGCGTGACCAAGTTTAACGAGACCGATTATAATGATCCGTAAGCTTATTATTTCCTCTTTTAATTTCTCCTGCTTTCGCAGTGTTCAGTTCTTAATTTTTACGACAGCAAACGCAGTTTATTTGGACTAATTGATACGTAGGTACATCATTAATGCAAAATGTTGGTAGCAGGTACACTGAAAAAAAATGGAAAATTTTCCTGGAGGAAGAAAGAAATACTTAAAATGTGACCCGAACTGTATGTGACAAGAAAATGAATATATCAATTCATTCGCCTGAGCTAAACAACCCTCCTTCCCCCAGTATTGTGCTAAACTCATTAAAGCTAAAAAAAATTTGGTTCTAATTGTAATTTTTTGACATTTTTGGCCGGTAATCCAGGATTATGGGAAAGGTGTAGGAAAATATATGAGGATTGCGCGAAAAAAGCACAAGGATTGTGTGAATAGAAACCTTAGCATCTGCTACAGGAATGCGCGAATTTAAAATGAAGTTAATTTAATATAGAATGTTTGGCAAAGCAGGAAACAGTTGGAAAATAAACGCATTTTTACGTTACCACTAGTATAGGGTGATAAAGAATGAAGTGAAAATATTGGATAATAATGGTCGTGAGTATAAAGAACTTTCTTAACTTTTCTCGGAAAGGAATATTTAATCGAAAGAAACAATTGTCGATTGGCCAACGTTGTGGCCGAGACACAGAGCGGCTGGCGTTGGGCGTGTATTAGCTCCCGCAAGACCTTAGGAATACTTCAAGCATTGCGCCAAACAGTGCGGTCGGCGTAAGGCCCATATTAGCGCCTACAAGACTGCATGAATACTTCTCGCATTGCGCCAAACGCAGTGCAGTCGGTCAGTTGGCGTGAAACGCATATTAGCGCCTACAAGACTGTAGGAATGCTGTAGGACTACGTGTCATCATTCTTGACTTGCTGCTCCGGTTTTCATCATAATTAAAAGGAAAATATGTATCCTCATTGTAAGGATTTTGAAACTCGGATGATATTTAATTTCTTTTGGTTACATTAACAGAAAATGGAACGAACGAAACTATCGCGTCGAAATTTTCGATACTTTTATTTGAGATCATTTAAGTATAAATTCGCGAAGACTTTGCAGAAATACTGCACTTGGCTTTTTAAAAACATTTATTAAAAATAAAACATAAAAGTGGTGCATTACGTTGCAATCAGAGATAAATATACGCTTTCTTTCAGGGGCACCTGTCGGGTTTTGAATTCATTCATATCTTCAAAGACTTGAACATGGTTGTTCTACAATTTTTCATGTGTTGTTTTTTCACGGCAAAAAGAGTTAAAATAAGACAAGGAGACACTTTGAAAAGTAATAGCCATGATACATTTATTTACATGGAAGAATGTATATGACGCTTTTATGTGTAGTGACAATGTTATATTTATTGTGTGTATATCTGTCTAATAACAGGGATGATTTGGACTGTCGGTACCACTTTTCAACGGAACAATTTGCCAAAAAGTACAACCTAGGCGATCCTCATGCGGTCAACTTTTTCACGACCAGGTGGAAATACGTGCCTACAACAGCAGAACCTTGGGGTACACCGGCACCTGGCTATCACAACGAAATACTTTGGGATGGAGACGAAATAATAACAGATAACCTCACCCCGCCCTACTGAAATGGGAAGTTGAAGGTGCTAGGTCATTTTTCCTAAATTTTTTTTCCTACATCAGGTTTTCCTAATACTTTTTTCCTACTCGTTTTTTGTCCCATTACAGTAAGTCCTACGAGTGAGATATCCCACTGGCTTTTTTCCTAAGGGCGTTTTCCTAATAATCCAATAATAATTGAAACGTAAACATGAGTAGAGTAGAGGGAAATTTTTCAGAAAGAGTAAAGTTTTCTCAGCGAGCCGAATTTAAGCGCGTGAACAGGAGACATCACAGGCTGAGCCTTCTATACCCTCAATAGGTTACTTGAGTTGAGCTCAAATTTAGTGCTTTTTTTTTTGTTTTAAAAAAAAAGGTGTAATTTTTTAATATTGTTATATTATAGGGCAACCCCTAGAGAGGGTATTTTAATATAGTATAAGCACTGTCCTCCCTCCCCACAATAGGAGGACAGTGATTATACAGTAAATATATATAAAAATGTATAGAAATAATTTATATAATTATTAATAATGAAAATTATTAAATATATAATTTAAGGAGGAGGATGAAGCTCCACTACTTCCGGGCATGCGGCCACAACTTTAACTTGTGAGGTACCTATGTTGTTTTTTTATTTCCTCGATCCCCTAGTTTTAAAATTGAATTTAGGACAAATGCCCCTAGGAAAAAAGCCAGTAGGACATCTCACTCGTAGGACTAACTGTGACGGGACAAAAAACGAGTAGGAAAAAAGTATTAGGAAAAATTGCAGTAGGAAAAAATGTTTTAGGAAAAATGACTTGCCACCGAAGTTGAATATTGCATCAAAACTTCCTACCATAAACCCTTTCAAGAACAATGTCTCTTCACGGACACGGAAAATGATTGCCAATAGGCCCCGAGTTCGAATCTGCCGGGTGGTGATACATTTCTACGGCACTGACGAGTGGATCTGCTGTAACAGACTCTACCCGGCCTTAATCCCTGAATATTCGAAGGACCTGGAGCATGGATGCCTCCATCCCCCTGATGTCCATTGACACTAAATAGCGTTCATAGATGACTGCGAGTACCTGACGTAATGCAAGCCGAGTAATCAGCATAAAAAACCCTGGATGGAATCAAGGTGGAAGTAACCACAGGCGCATTTTCGCGAGAGGATTTGGTTGAATTTTCAGACCAAATTATAATGAATAACGGGTTTTTTTTTTTCAACCCAGTCCACTAGTCTGTTGAACTCATCAGCAATCGGTGTCTGAACCACATCCAAAAATGTCTCGACCCACCTCCGGAAGTAGGTCGATAAGTGGACGGGAGTAAAACGGATTTACCAGAAACCTCGAAAAGCAACCAATTTTTCCAAAATGGCGGTGCTCTGTGTACCAAATTAACATCTGAGCAACAACAGCAGCGGTGAGGTGATGGCATAGAGTACATGAAGTAGTAATGCAAGTGGGAGAGCTGGCGCCACTTTGAAGCATTTTCCAGGTCCCGAATTCCGAGACTCTTGTGTGACGCCGGATCACTTTTTCGATACATGATCGATTTTTTTCGATACACGGGTACCCGGCCATCCGATGTAAATAATGAGGATAGGAATTACCACGTATTCCATGCCGCCATTTTGGATTGAACATGTATCGAAAAAGTGACCGAAGCTCGGCGCACACCGGGCTCGAAACTCGTTGAGCGGAACATGGCGCCAGCTTTCCAATTTATATTACTACTCTATGTGCTCTATTACTGCTTTATGAGTAATGGTGATGAAGTAAAGCTTGAAAAATTCACTTGTTTTTGTACATTTATACTATCGTGTATTTTACTATAATAAGTATGATATTTTAAATCGTAGATTAAGTCGTGTTGCATTGGCCAATTGGCGCGCTCTTGTTAAACCTAATCCGGGATTTGGCTCGTTTTCCTTAGGGCTTGGTTGAAAATTAGATATTCGATTCTAACTGGTCTTAACTCCAACGGTGATACGACAATCATCTATCCAAAAAATGAACCGAATCCAGTCACAAAAATTCGCCTAATGCTATGTACTGCTTCACCAGATAACGTCACTCGCCGTGTTTTTTAAAGGGTGATACCTCCCTTAATATTAGAGGCCAAATCCGAAATCAGCCGGTTAGAACTCTCCGGTTCGTATACCGGAACTTTCAAGCCGAGCGCATGACGGAATAAAACATCTCCGAGGGAAGTTGATCGATAGAAGGAACAAAAGGAGCGGGGAATCGGAAAGCGGGCCGACAGAACATCATGACGAGCTAAGTCGTGAAATGAAAGAAATGAGCCGATTCGGGGCAGGGCGCGCGACGGGCGGAAGCATTAAATTTTAACACGTTCCGGGGGATATTTGCCCAGCAGATTGTGCTCCAAAACGCTCCAGGAATATGAAAATCCTCGCTTCGATGACGTAACGCTGTGAGTCCCTTTCGAGATGAGCCCTGACAGCCGTAAAATGCCACGCTCAGCGAGGCTTATCTAAAATTGAAGTTGAGGTCTTCAGCTTTCAGCTTTCAGCTTTCAGCCAGCGGAGCGACGATACAAACGCAGGTAACAGAACTAAGGGCGTATAGCTATTTTTTGAGATGAGCCCTAACTATTGTCTGACTTTGTGTTTTGCGAGGCTCTGCAGGGATATGAAAATCCTCACTCTGGTGACGTAACCGTGTGGATCCCTTTCGAGATGAGCCCTGGCAACCGTAAAATGCCACGTTTAGCAAGGCTCATTTAAAATTGAAGTTGAGGTCTTCAGTCTTCAGTCAGCGGAGTGACGATACAAATGCAGGTAACAGAACTAAGGGCGTATAGCTATTTTTTGAGATGAGCCCTAGTTTTTGTTGAACTTAATGCATTGCAAGGCTCACGTGAATGTGAAATTAAACATCCTTTTGTCTGGGGAAATACGACAAAAGCACAGATAACAGAGCTAAGAGTGTGCGTCCAATTTGAGATGAGCCTATTTTCCATACAGAGTGATCCCAAAGTTCCGTGCCTTCCTTGCACAGTAAAAAAAGTAACCAGAATTTTGCGTTGATATGGGAAGTAAAACAGGGAGGAGGGTTGATCTAACGCAAAAAAATAACACAAAAAAAGTAACACCAAACACTTGAATGTTTAGCTGTGTGTTCTCGTCCCTTTTTAGGGTGGTACAGTGGACTCTCGATAATTCGAACCTCGATAATTCGAAAACCTCGTTAATTCGAAGGAAAGTCTGTTTCCCTTGAAAGTCTCTCGATAATTCGAAGAAAATCAATGTATTTTTCTCCCCTCGTTAATTCGAAATTTTAAAGCTGGCTTGGCCCTCTATAATTCGAAATTGCGACGAAAATTCTCTCTGTAATTCGAAATGTGGGAAGTAAGTATGGCCCTCCCTCTATAATTCGAAATAAGACGGTACATTCCCTCTACAATTCGAAGTCAACTGTTCATGTTCCTGGGTGTCTGAAAGAGCTTGACCTTTGAGCTTAAGACCTTTAGGCGTAAATCCGTCCATTTGCCCCTCTATAATTCGAATTCAGATGGCGCCTTCCCTCTATAATTCGAACCTCTCTAATTCGAAATTTTTCTACATGGAATCTCTTTAATTCGAACTCTCTTTATTTCGAAACCTCGCTAATTCGAAGAAAAAGCCGATTCCCTTCAATTTCGAATTATCGAGAGTCCACTGTACCTGGTCCCCTTAAAATTTTCGAGTTACTCAAAAGTTGTTTTCTTTGACCTAGGAGCATTTGACATTCATGTTTTTGACTCGATTTGTTCAAAAGTTACAGGGGTGATGTTTGGTGTTGATGGTACGGGACTTTGAGTCATCCCGTATTTGGCTATGTTTTTCGGGGCTCAGACGAAAACAGGGTTGATCTATGATCTCTCTAGTCAGCAAGGCGACAGACAACATGAGCACAGCAAATAAAACTAAGGGCGAACCTCTACTTGCGACAATTGAGGAGTTTAAAAAGTCCCTGCCATCTGAAAATTTTCAAGGATAAACCTCTGCAGATCAAATTGCTTTGAAAATTCAGATTTTAAGCTCACGATGTTTGAATCTAATTGTCTCAAGATGTTTGTGATCAACGTGTAAAAGAACACAGAAGTGCATTTTTCATAATTGCCGTCACAATGAATCAAGAAAAAAAAAAATTGTTGACCGAAATTTTGAGAGACTAAATAAGCTGGAAGAGAAGATATTCTGAGAAAATATTACTAATGACTGAGCAAATTATTATTTTGATCCCAAATATAGATGTTGAAGCCATTCGCGTTTGACTTCGCAACACAACTGGCGAGGCGTGAATGATCGATTATAGATATTTTCCCCTATGAAGCTGTGATAAAGAATCGATTATTAAAGTTTTCGTTGAGAACACCCTGTTTATCGATCTTTTCCCATAGGTTTAAACGGCAGATCAATCGATATATCGCATAGCACACCACGCCACTGCGGGACACCCTGCTCATAAGGCTAAGCTATCTAGGGCTCACGTCAAAATAAAGCTACGCCCTCTAGTCAGCAAAGCAATGAAAAAAACACAGCCAACAAAACTAAGGGTGTATTTCCTATTTAACGTGAGCTCTTTCCTTCATATAACTGTATGCTATCCGGGGCTCACGTGAGAATGGAGTTACGCCCTTGCACGGCGGGAACGAGGGAAAACAGGCGGGAGCCGGGACTGGGAGCGCGCTTGGCGAATTCAAAATGTCGTCTTCTCCGGTGGCCTTTGACATTTAATGTATACCTTCGCGCGGAATCGCAACCTCACCTCCTCCGATTCGCCGTTATTGACTCAGCGCTGCCGGGAACAGAGCACAGCTCCCAACCCAGGCACTTCGCCATTTTTTCTCGGCTCAACGTCGGAACTCCGGAAAGTTTCCCGACCCGTGAAGTTTCGCGCGAAATTTCCTCAAAAGAAGGCTCTTGTTTGGCTCTTCGACGAGGTGTTTGCAGACTTGGAGAGGAAACATTCGTTGCTTTTCACGTTTCTCCTGATGAAAATGCACGAGTAGTATCGGAAGAGGAAATTTTGGGCATTCGTGCCACTATAAATGGACGGATTTCTGCTAAAAGGAACTATGTGCATAGGAGTTGTGTGTAATATAATTCTTTTTGGCATAAACATGTCCAATGACAGAAATACGATGACCGTTTTGAACGTAAATTTTTATGCAAAATTTCCTCAAGAGAAGGCTCTTGTTTGGCTCTTCGACGAGGTGTTTGCTGACTTGGAGAGGAAACATTCGTTGTTTTTCACGTTTCCCCTGACGAAAATGCACGAGTCGAATCGAAAAAGGAAATTTTTGGCATTAGTACCTCTATAAATGGACGTATTTCTGCTAAAAGGAACTATGTGCATAGGAGTTTTGTGCCACATAGTTCCTTTTGGCATAAATACGTCCAATGACAGAAATACGATGACCGTTTTGAACGTAAATTTTTACGCAAAATTTCCTCAAGAGAAGGTTCTTGTTTGGCTCTTAGAGACTTGGCTGAGTTTGGCTTGTTTGGTTGTACCTGCAGAATTAGAGAGGAAATATTCTTGACTTTTCCACGTTTTTCTTGACAAAAATGCACGATTTTTAGCATTAGTGCCACTGTAAATCACAGAAACATGATGACTATGTTTGAGGTAATGTTTCACGCAAAATTTCCTCAAGAAAAAGCTCATGTAAGGCTCTTAGAAGCTTAACTGATTCTGGCTTGTTTGACTATATTACTTTATAGAATTGGAGAGGAACAATTCTTGACCTTTTCACGTTTTTCCTGGCCAAAATGAACGAATTGGACTGAAAATGAACACTTTTTGGCATTACGACTACTGCAAATGGCAGAAACACGAGAGCCAATTTGCTTAAGATATTAATCATTCAGTGGATAATTTGCAGGTGTCTAAAATTTGATAAAATTTCATGTTTAAGATGAAACTAAGACAAGAACTGGGCACGAGGATAATATGTTTGGTTTCTGGATTGAGCAATTATTCGAGGAAATATGACAGAAAAACCTATTCAATTAAAATACACGTGTTTAAATGGGAAATTCCGTCAGAAGGCGTCACAAGAAGGCCCATTTTCCCACTATTAAACCTTCTTTTCTAAAATTTCCCATCTCAGAAAAAATTATGAAAAACACTGCGAACTCAGCTCACTGAGCACGCTCAAATAAAGAATTAAACAATGTTTGTGCAATTCTCTATTGACTTAAATTGCATTTCCTTATTGAAACTCATTTCCCTGATCACTATTGAGAGTTTTACCTAAAGCTTTGCGCCCAAATCTAGAAAGAGAGTCATTTTTACAGTCGTTTCCAAACAGATCCTTTTCTTAAGGAGACCCCATACAGTTTACATTGTGACTAAGGGAAATTCAAGGAACCCTTTATTACACCAACATAAAAGGGGAATTTTTCCAAACCTCTTGTAAAATTCAGGAGTATAACTCGGGCCATAAATCCTTACTAGGGCTTACAATCAAATTTCGCCGCAAAAAATAAATTATAAAAGAAAATTCATACCAAGCTCTGTAAATTTTAAGGTACAATCGCACCTACTTTAAACTTTGTTAAAAATTGAGAAGTATATTCCTCTTTTTTTCGAATTTTTAGTAGTGGCAAATCATAAAGATCCATTTCAGGAGTCATACTACTGAATTTGACTGGAGGTTGGTAAAAATTGACTTTTTTATAATGCTATCTTGAGAGTTCCCTTTAATCTTTCTTAGTCACATTGTAAACCATGCGGGCTTTCCTGGTGAACGGAACTGTGAATGGAATCACTATAAAATACAGTGAAAATGATCACGTGCAAATTCAAAGACAGCTTGGTTTATACAGGTCTAATCGCGTGATACCACTATTCGTGTTTTGGTGTACGCGGTGAAGTGTCCCCAGGATTTGAAGGAACTTTCCCTACCGACCGCTATTAGTTTCACAGAACGATGGACTACCAGACACACCTCTGGTGACATATGTGATTATAGGACATGCAGGCTCTACGATTCACACAAAGTCTCTCGTATGCATTCACTTAATTGTGTTCTGAAACACTTGGTTAAACTGATGGCAGAAAAATGGTTCCATTAGTGCTTTACGTTGCTCTATGACTTTCCTAGCAGCACATGCTTCGATAGATCCAAAAACAACATAGGGGTTAGAAATTTGCATTTGTCATGCAAATGCGGGCTGTACACGCAAAAGCCAAAAATTTCTGAAGGTGATTTGAAGAATTTCAAGTTGTAATTCCTCATCAAAATTTTACAAAAAAAAACACGGTGAATACATTAAACATTTAAACTATCTACATTTTAAAGAGATTGTCCGTTTATACTTTAAATGAAAGTCACCGAATCCGAACTTCTTAAAATTTCATGAAAAGTCAAGAAATTGATACGTATGATGAATTCAAGCCCTGGTTTTAGCTAAAATTTCTAGACTTTCATAAACTAATCTTACTTCTAAAATAGTGGCAAGAAATAATTAGCGATAAGACTAGGTCACTGGAAATCATATGTATTTCGACTGCCTGTTTGAGCTCTAATTTTATTCACAGAGGAATCGGTAAGGTCTGATGGACTTCCACACGTGTCCAGTGGCGAGTCTAGGATCCCCAAAGATGACCAGGGTCATACTAAAATTTGAGAGTTATAAGCGTAGAACAGTAATTTTTAATCGAAATACACTTTTAAAAAAACAATTAAACTAAGAAAAAGAAGGAGATATCGATTCACACCAATAAAAGAACGGTGGAAGGGCAGAGCGGATTCCGCCATATTATCAAAAAATACTACCCACTTATTTGAGTGACTGCATATTGGGGTTCTAAACGCACCCACAGGGGTTGTCCTGTCGCACTTTGGTAAAACGCCGTAGATGGGCCTAATAAGAATATTAGGCAAAATACCAATTTTCCAACAAACTTGAGTACTTTTCCTCCGACGCATTTGCATTAATTTTTTCGCAATTCAACCCAACACACCTCAAAATTTCTTCAAAAATAAATATTTTATCAAGAGAAATTTGACAACATTCGAATGCTCATACGGCTTTCATCCTCAGCGTAGCAGAGTTCAGGCCATATTCACGGTCCAAAAACTTCCCTCCGTATATCCCATCCAAGGCGCATATCGAGAGGCTTCGAAGAAATTGCAGTCCTCCAATAAATTCATATTTTCAATAATGTAGGGTGGTGTAATTCAGGCTGAAACTCATGAATATTTTATTTGGATCGAGGCACCGGTTTTTTTTTTAAAACTTTTCTCCAGCTTTTCCAGCAAATAAGGCGGCCGAAAAAGCAAAGTTGAGGCGATCTCATCTCGACAGATAGTATATGCTCGATTGAGGCAGGAATTAAGGATGTACATAAGTGGTAAGGCGTGCATGATCGATTATCGATATTTCCCCTTTTGAAGCTGTGGTGAAGAATCGATCCTAGAGGTGTTCGTTCCGAACACCTTGCTCATCAATCCTTTTCCATAGATTTAAATGGCAGATCAATCGATCCATCGCAAAGTACGCCACGCCACTGATGTATACATGAGAGGATTTTATTTAGTCTCATGCGGGGAAGATATGCCTGTTAGGATGCCAAAGCTCGTACGCAAGATACATGAAGATAATGTGGCTAAGCCTTTCAAAGGGCATTTGGACCAGGGATAAAAAATTTCAGGAAATATAATCCTCCAAATTTTGATCCCTTTGAGCAATGTTTAGATCAAACCAATCCGAATTGCAAGTTAAAAGAGTAGTTATTTCAACTATAGAAATATTTACTAAAATCGTCGAAATTGTCTCCAAAAATCTCCAAGAGATGGACACTAAGTTGGCCTTCTTCTCCTGAGGATGATTGAAAATTTCATTTTTATTGGTTTGATGAGTTCTTTATATTAATTGAATTTTTGTTTATATAACTTTGATGATTTAATGTGCTCAGTATTTGGTGGTCTGCCAAATAGGGCTATACCCTGGTCGCTCCTAGAAGACGAAGAAGTCGACATTTTATTTTCCCGATAAATATTCTGGGGGTGGGATACAGCATGTTTGAATCCATCCTACAGACGTTACTACATTACTCCGAATGCGTCAAAATCGAATAGATACAATAATTAAATGTATCTTATTCTATGCAACGTCGCATGTATCGAGGCGCGTGTAGAAATTTAAACTAAAAAATTGGGTGATAACAAACTTCATTTAGAATTTCATAAAATATAGACTGCATAAAATTTCTCCTCGCTGAGTTTCCTAAAGCGTATTGAAAATTCCGT